CGCCCAAGAAGCCTTAAGCAAGTGGACTCACTGGTTAGGTTACTGTTTCGTTTTATACATTTCAGGGAAACAGGAGTTATAGGTAAAGTCATAAATCAATACATGGAAGGCATACATTGGTCTGGCCCGAAAAGGTGGACCGTTTTGACTTGGGGGGGTGGGGGCTTACAGGTTATAGGTGGGTTTAAACACTCCTTGACGTGTAAGTGGTTAAAAGACATGAAGGTTTTGTCTGAAGGCTTGGGATGTTTTAAGATAAGTAACTCTGTTAGTCAGAGACAAGCTACCAGACATATTTTGTTGTGTAAAATAAGGACCTGCAGGTTTGTCTTGCATAGCCTTAGGCCTATCAGTGAGTTACAAAGGATATTTACAAGAAGGGAGGGGGCATGACGAGGCATGTCTGACCTCCCTCCTCCTGGCAGGCAATTTAGTTTTAGGATATCCTCTTGGCCAGGAGGGGGTCCATTGAGTCAACCTGTTGGGGGAAGCTTTAAGATTTTATTTTAGTTCACAAGTGCTAAGGACCAAAAATGTTACTAAAAGCAGAGGGAGACATTTTATAATAACAAAGTGCCAATTCATCAAGAAGATATAACAATTGTCAACATATATGCACCTAACAACAGAATTCAAAAACACACAAAGTAGTAATAAAATTAAAGGGAGACATAGACAATTTAGCAATAAAAGTTGAGACACTTCATAACCCACTTTCAGTAATGGACATAACAACTAGGCACAAAGTCAGCCAGTATATAGACGACAACACTCCCAACAAATCTGACATTAACTGATACCTATACAACATTCTACCCCAAACTGCAGACTACACAGATAGTGAGGCAAATAGTTACATTCTTGTGAGGTTCTAATTAGTGCTCAGTAAATCTACATTTTACATAAGGTGTACATTCAAAAGGGAGTAGAGGGAAAGAAATCAATCATGTAGTCTTCTCAGGGTAGGCAGAGGAGTGATCTCATCTCATCCTTGGTCTGCATGTGTGGAGATAAGCTTGTAATTGGCATTGTCAGCATGAAACTTAACACAGGATCAAGAATTTAGGTTGTAGTCCTAAGGTTATAATTGGCATGTGCTGGTTTTATAGGGGTTATATATTCTGAAAGGTTTGTAGCTGGCCCCCCATTGAACAAATTTCAATGACCCCTATATAATCCTCTCCCTTAACTACTTGAGTTTTTGAGTTTTTTCCCCAGAAACAGTAGATTTTCTGCAAGACAAAGGAGCTGAGATTCTGAAGGCCCTGGGGCAGACTTCATGACCCCAGGATTCATCATCCCCCACAACCTGACCCCAATTCATGTAGCCCCTTGTGAGATACACAAGGACCTGACCTAAGGCATGTGACCCCTCCTTTAAAAGCCCATGATCTCCCTTAAGTTGGAGAGAGATTTGAGGCAGCTTCTCCCGTTCTCCTGGCAAGACATCTATCATATTAAAAATTCCTTCCTTGATTGGTAATCCTTGTTGCCTCAGTAAGTGGATCTTTGTGGAATGAGCAACTGGATCTAGACTGAAATCCCCTTGTGGTTTTGACAACAGGTTTATGGCTAACAAGGCATTTCCCTGTAAGCACTATGTGAAGAAAGCCATCCAGAGAGGCAAAGCACTTTTGTTGTGGGAACCTGGCTTACACATAAAGTCATGACACACGGTTGTGAAATCACAGCTATTCCTTTGGGGAGAGGATGGCAGTGCTGTGTGATTCAGTTTCCAGGCTGGGTCTCCCTTTGGAATAATGAGTTTTGGGGGTCCTGAGATTTTATTTTTCCTTTATGCTATTCTCTCATTAGTGTCTATTGTGAAATGGCAAGGGGTGTCTTCCATTGTATCTTTAAACTATTGTTTTAATAATCCTCTCGACAGGATAATTTTATTGCCAGCTACCTTACTGGATTCTATTATTTATAATTATGTGAAAAATTATGATGGTGAAATAGTTGTAAAATGATCTTTGTATTGAAGTGGAAGATTGGAAAATTCCACTAAAGTGGAATTCTTAGAAATTCCACTACCGGGCTTTTTTTTCCTTGTGATCCTTACCTGGGCCCCCTCCTCACCTGCGACCTTGCCCTCATAAATCACCTGTAGCAATTAGTGTACCAGGCTGTGAAAGTAGCTTAGGGCTCTGCCTCACTAAAGTTAACCCTGTTGTGACCATGCTCCTCCTCCTCTCCTACCCTGAGACCGTTCCCCTCATAAATCACCTGTAGCAATTAGTGTACCAGGTTGTAAAGCGGCTCAGGACCCTGCCTCACTAAAGTTAACCCTGTTGTAGCCATGCCCCTCCTCCTTAAGCAGAGTGTATAAAAGACTGCCATGCTCTTTGTCTGGTGCTCAGAATTTGGGGAGAGCAAATTCCCCTCTGAGCCTTGCCGGCCGACATATAAAACCTGTATTGCCGAAATCTCTGTGTGTGTCTCTTGGTCTATTCTCGGTCAGCTCTGCCGTAACAGTACAAACTTTTTTTAAAAAGCACATTACAAAGGCAATGTGGTCTGTGATCACAGTGATCTGGACAATGGCAAATTGTGTTCAGCCTTAAATTCTATTCTGAGCCAAGGCTTTCCTCTCGGAAAATGAGCATAACACTATCTGACCCAGACACTTGCCTCCTTCCTCAGTTTTGATCTCTCTGCAGGCATTGCCTGTGGGCTTTATTTTAGGCCAGGGCTTGCAATTTTGGGACAACCCTTCCCACTCCCACATATTAATATCTGCTAAAGAACAAAGTGAATGCTTATTCTCAGGGGTATGCAACAAAAATAGGCACCCAATAATAAATTATTTTCAAATATTCTTTCTCATTTAAAAATAAATTCAGATTTCATGTAAATACCAAAATAAATGTGTCTTGGTTCTTATGATCACATAAAATATCATGTTCAAGTGATTTACTTTTTAATCCGCCAAATCTGAAATACATTAATGTTAGGGTGGAAAGCTTAGTAGGCGCTTATGGCACAGGTGGAGAAAGATTTCTCATACAGAAATTAAGATATAAAAGTAAAATTTATTTTATCCTTTGAGGGGAGCAGTGTGAAGAGAGCACAGAGATGGTGTGGCATACCAAAGAGAAGGAGATGCCAGCTGGTAGGCCAAGTGGCTTGCTGCTTCTATGGGGACGAAGAGAAAAATAGTAATCGTTGTGAATTGCCATATCCGCTCCTTCTCTTCTTCTTAACTGCAAGCAGATAATGGAATCTGCTATGTGAAACCGCTGCATCTGTTCCCTTTGCTTTTGCGATAAAGTGACCTTGCCTTCAAGATATGATTTTGGGTTGCCATTGGATGCAATTTACATTTCCTTTTTGTCTGCTGGGATCCTTTGAGATGTTCAGAGCTATGCAGGGTGGAGAGGTTAGCTACTTGAAGAGGGAGCAGAGCTGATTTATTTCACTCACAAGACCCACCATCCTTTCAATTGATGTTGTAAGAAAGTGCAATGTTTCATTACCATTACTGCTAATGAGGGAAGTTAGGCTGCCATGATTAATGACTCTCATATATTCACAAATATACCTTGTCTCCCATACTATAACACACCTGACAGTCACACATACACACTACCCCAATCTTGCATCCCTGTAGTTTCCTATTTACCCAACCCCAAACACTCAATCTCACACAAAAATATACCAGGGCTTTTCCTTGGCCTAACCTCGCCCCAAACATATATTCCTGTAAAAGAGAATAAAAATCTCAGGACCACCCCACCAACTTCTTATGCAAAGGGAAGATAAAGGCCTCAAAGCACCAGTGAAGAACTGGTCCCACCCATTACAAAAATTCCTTGCTGATCTCCCACAAGCAAGAACATGCAAATTGCAATTTTAGATTTGCAGGCTAAATCTAGCTCCTAAAACTAAAGTCTGTTGGATTCCACACTAATAGTGAATTACAAGTTTATCTTCCCAGGTGCAGAACAAAGAGAAGACAGAATCAAACATTCTTCCACCATTCTTCCACACTGATGCTTCCTTCATTCCCTTTTTCTAACATTTGCCTTATTTTATGTAAAATGTGGATTTTCCTGGGTCTCACAAGAATGCAAACCATTTTATCTCACTACTCTCCCAACACTTCCCCACCCTTTTTTTTCCCTTTCTGTATGTCCTAATCCCCCTTAAATACTGAAACTTCCAAATTCCCTTTCGGAAAAACAGCCACAGATTTGTCTGTGGTTTGTGTTTGGGCAGGTCCTCAATTCTGCCTTAATAAACCTCCACTGATAGAGATCTTTTCCTCAGTCACTTATTTTTGGTTGACATTCCTAGAGGCCTGGCCTGGGACACAGCCTGTCCTGGGCTTCCAGATCCCGCCCATTCACTCACCCCGCTTCGCATCCTTGCTCCACACAAGCCACTAGCACACAGAGAAAGGCCCAAATAGTGCGCACTTTTGTTTGAACTTGAACAACTGGCAGCTGGACCAGGCTCACAGGATTTCTCCAGGGTGGCCAGGCAGGGTCACCGATGCAATCGCAGGCCAGCTATGAGAGGTGGGACAAACAACTCCCTCCCTGTCCTGCAGCGTTTACGGCTCTGCGCGACATTTCCCATGAGGCCCTGCCCTGCGAGCCGACCGCCTCCCCTCAGGTTCCGTAGCTTTTACGGCTCTGCGCGACATTTCCCAGGAGGCCCTGCCGCAGGAACAGCCGCGCAAGGCTTTAAGGGCTACTCAGAGAGCGGGCTGGGCCCGCATGGAGGCATTTTCTAGAGTCCTCGGGAAGGTTGGCTTGGAGATGCTTCTGTTGCAGCCTTGTGTAGGCTTGGTGCTGGCAGGGTTCCAAGGACCAACCTCCGTTTTTGAGCAGCTCGCCTGGCTCTGTATTACGTCCCCATAGGTTCTGCGTCACAGCTCTAGTTACCGCGGGGTCTCGGCTGTCTTGTGGAGTGAGCAGGCGAATCCCACTTCTCTGGGCAGAGAACTCTGAAGTGCAAGTGTCTCAGGTCCCCACGGCAGTTTGAGTCGTTCCTGACTACCCGGGGGAGGCCAAAAGCAGGGTTCCCAGATTCCTAGCACTGGTGAGGCAATGGGAATCACAGGACTGCTAGCGGGGCAGTGGCTGCGGCGCGATTGAGCTGCGGCTGTGTGTAGGGCAACTAACGGCTCTGCGAGGGCGCTGGTCGCTGTGCTGCACCAGCAGTGTGTGTATGGTTGGGGGGTGTGTATGGTTGGGGGGTGGGTAGGTGTGGTGTGGTGTGGTGTGGTCCTGCGCCTCCCGCGCTCTGCTGTCAGATTCCGGCTTCACCTGATCACGCGGCTTGGGCGAGAAGGTCCTAGGCTCCCTTACGTGTGTATCTGTGGTTGGGCGTCGCGGGTAGAGGCTGGAGCTAAGGCTATTTTCAAACTTACTCTGGACTCCAAGAAAAATCTTGACACCTCACAAGGCATTTCTGCTTTGCCAGTTCTGCTCGTCTCCGAGAGAGGCGCCTGGTAGAAGAAAGAATGGCTGTTGCATATCTAAAAACCACATATGAGGTAGCTTGGTGTTTCTATTTCATTTTCTTTTTGTAACATTCATTTTTACCCCCCTCAAGCCTTGATTTGCTTTCCTTCTGATTTTTTTTTTTTTTTTTTTGCCTGATTGAGCCCATCAGGTGTCGCGGTTTTTAGTATTACCAATTTAAGAAACTGCTGGGGGTTGTGTAGAGCCCAGTATATCTCCCCCTTCCCCTAACACTCCATAATTTGACCAATGTTTTGGTTTTATTCTGTTGTCTTTTTAGTTTATTTAATTCATTTTTTCTGGTTATAAAATTATCAGTTTAGAGAATTTGAAAAATGCACAAAGTAACAAAGGAGAACATTAAAATCCCAACCTCTGAACAACTATTGTTAATATTTTGTTGTTTTCAATTCATATGTAAGGTGTACATTTATACCATATATACGATTTTATATCCTACATTATTTAAACTTATATTGTGACTTTTCCTATATTTTAAAATTCTTACCGAAAATACCATTTTTATAGCCACAATATTTCTTTGAGTGAATTTGCAGTAATTTTTTTCCTTCAATTATAAGAATATGCGTAAAGTTTACTAAGTACTATAGAGAGCACACTCAAGTAAAAACCAACCATATCAAGACATAAAACATTGCAAACACCAACCCGGATCAAAATCATCTTTCCCACCCACCCCTAACCTTCATGATAATTAGTTTTTCCATTATAGTTTTACCTACATAAGCATGCATCAATAAATGATATAGTTTATTTTTACTTTTTATAAACTTTATATAGCTTTCTATTTTTTGTATCATGCTATTTATAATTGTTTCCATTCTCTTGGATGGTAATGGTATGTCATGTGGTTTCCTTTAAGTTTTTTACTAAACACTAATGTAAGTAGAAATAAGTGCAAAAATCATGAGCATATAGCTTGTGAATTTTCACAAACTGGATCCCTGATACCATCACCCAGATCAAGAAATTGAATATTAACCAATGTCCTTTGTCATCTCTACTTCCACATTCCCACCTCTCTCCCAGGAATAACCTGACTTATAATATCAGAGATTAGTTTTTGAACTTCCTGTAAATGCTTGAATGTATAAATGTATATATGTAGTGTGTGATCTTTTGTGTCCAATTCCTTTCTCGTAATATTCTGTTTCAGCATCATCAATGTTGCTGCATTTACTTGCAGCTCATACATCTTCGTTGCTGTGTGCGATGATCTTGTGCACCTTCTATTCCATTATTTGAAAATATCATTCTCTCTGTTCTGATGTTGGCAGGCATTTCCATCCTTTGGTTATTGTGAGGAGTGTTACTGTGAGCATTCTGTGTTTCATTTGGTGAATTTATATATGCATTCCTGTTTGGTAATAATAACTAGGTGTGGAATTGTTGGGTCATAGATTATGTATATGTTCAGTTTATACATCAGCTCAGTAGATAGTGACAAACTTTTCCAAGGTGATTGCACCAATTTATATTTTCATCATTTTGTATGAGAGTTCCAGTTGTTTCACATCCTTACCAACCTTTGGTATAATCAGGCTTTTTAATTTTAGTCATACTGGTGAATGTATAATGGTATCTAATCTTGGTTTTAATTGACATTCCCTGATGACTAATGAGATTGAGCACCTTTTCATGTGTTGTTTGGATAAAGGATGTCCTTTCTAAAGTGCCTACTCAAATCAATAGAATAAAATTGGGTTGTCTGGTGTTTTCTTACTGATTTTAGTAAGTCGTTATATATTCTTGATACTAGTCCTTCGTTATATGTGTTGCAATATCTTTTTTATAACTTTTTTTGATACTGTATGGTATCTTTGAATAAACAAGTTCTTAATATAGTCAAATTTATTAATATTTTCTTTTACAATTACTGTGTATTGTGCTCTGTTCCCTTATATCCTTGAAGATGTTATCCTGTATAGGATTATATGTTAAAACCTTTATTGTTTTAGATCTTCAGTTAGTCTTAATCCATCTGGAATTTATGTTTGTGTATCATGTGATTTACAGGATCAGTTTTAGGTGGGTTTCCTCCCCAGTATTTGTGTACTGCATGGTTCCACTAGAATTTATTGAAAAATCTTTTTTTCTTCCTAATTTGATGACAGTTCTTTCATAAATGATATGACCATATACACATGGGTTTTGTCCTGGGCTTTTTTGTTCCGTTGGTCTGTTTATCTGTCTCTGAGACAATACCATACTATATTAAATATCGCTTTCTGATAACTCCTTATATCTAACTGACAGGGTCTCCTACTTTATTTGTATACTTTATAAATGCCTTAGCTGTTGATCCTTTGATTTCTTTGCACTTTTTTCATTATGCATTTTAGAATTAGCTTGTTATTTTTCATTAAAAAATCCTGCTGGGATTTTGATTGAGATTGTATTCTATTTGTAGGTTAATTTGAAGAAAATTGACATTACTTTGTGGAATCTTTTGATCCCTGAACATGCTATATCCCTCCATTTACTTAGGTCTTCAGTTTTATTACACTTTTTAATGTAGAGGTCTTGCATGTCTCTTGTTAAATTTACTCTTAAAAATTTTATTTTTCTGATGCTGTCTTTAATGATATTTTTAAAATTTTCATTTTGTTGCTGGCATATAGAAATGAAATAGGTTTTATGTATTTATCTTGTATCCAATGAGTTTGATAAATATATTTGCTAATTACAAGTTTGTTTATAGCTTCTTTTGGACGTACAATAATGTCCATTGAAATAATCCCAATGCCTATGAATAGTAAAATGGAGTTTTAAAATTGTGATTTTTTATAGGGAGAATACATTTGTATGACAATGTACAGCAGTGATACAATATGAAAAACTAATTTATAGACCTTATTCCAATTTTGACAGGTTTCCTCCTAATTTACTTTTTCTGGTCCACAAGCTAATCCACAATCACACATTGGATTTAGTTGTCCTATCTCCTTAGTCTCCTTGAATCTGTGAGAACTCCTCAGTCTTTTAGTAACCTCGGCACTTTTGAAAAGAACTGGTCACTTATCATAGAATGGCCCATATCTTATCATGATTAAATTGAAGTTATGCATTTTGACAAATATACCACAGAAGTGATCTTGTGCCCCTTGAGAAGCATGTTACTCGGGGATATGTAATGTTGATATGATGGTATGTCATTATCTCTGGTGTTGTTAACGTGTATCAGTTTGTGAAAGTAGTGTCTAGTTCCTCTACTGTAAAGTTACTGTTTATTACCTTTGTAGTTAATAAATACCCTGTGGAGAGATACTTTGAGACTGTCTAAATATCCTGTTCCTTATTATACATTGGCTCACTAATTTTAGCATCCATCTTCTTCTTGCCTGCAACAGTTTTTATTGTGGTATTTGTGTAATCACATCTATTTCACTATTTCTTCTGCTTAATTGGAATTCAACTATAAGAAGAAAGCGCTGTTCCTTTTTTCTGTTTGTTTATATCAGTACAGACTCAGATTTATTTTTTCCGTTATTCTTATTTGTTTTGTTGCTCAAATTGACCAGGCTTTGTTGATTGGGAGCTCCTTCAAATTAGTTCCTGCATGCTCTTGATGTCCCCGTTATTTTTTGACCACTTCTTTACTTTCTGGCACCCACAATATGTTCCAGACTTATTGTGCATTTTCCCAGTCCTGTAGTCAACATGTTCCCAAGTTCTGTTTCTTTATGTTAGAGAATAATTTTTAGAAACCGAGATATGGATGATAGGTGTGCTTATTGTTTCTGAGGTCATTGCCTCTATGCCCTGTTTGGAGACAGAGGCATATGTATACTAACACATTCACATGTATCTATGTTTATATATATATCTGTCCCTATCTATATATATTACTAATAAAAGCCATGAGGTAATACTGATCTCTCTAATTCTAATCTAACACCATAAGGTTCATTCTAGCTGTCCCTGTTTCCTTATTTGTAATCAGATAGTAAAACATAAAGCTGGAATAAGCTAACTTGATTAACCGTCTTCCTGCAGTCTCCAATTATTTGGAAGTTAACAGTTTTTATTTTATAACAAAATTAAAAAGGGACTGTTTCAGTTTTGTCTAAGGTTCTAGAGATGGAGACCAATAGGTGTTAAGGTTTTAACATACATTCATACGATAGAATATTATACAGCCAGTAAAAATGGTGCTTACTAAATAATTTTTCATAACAAGGAACACTTTATCATAGTATGACATAGAATGTATTAGTTAAAATTTTCTAAGTTGTATGCACATTCTATTTTCTAAGCTAGAGCTTATTTAAAATAATAGCATATTTGTGCCACATGACACAGTCTCTATGCAAAGAGTGGCCACATCAACTCTTTTAGTTGATTCCCCTGATATTTAAGTCCATGTTCCTAATAAATATTCTTAGCCTGGTATTTCTTAATCAGTTTTAGACACTATCTGCTAACTTCCCATATGAGTTTTATTTTTTATTTTTCAATCATTTTCTGAGACAGGGTCTTGCTGTGTTGCTTGGGCTAGGGTGCAGTGGCACCGTGATAGCTCAGTGCATCCTCAAACTCCTGGACTCAGGTGATCCTCCTGCTTTAGCTTCCCAAGTAGCTGGGACTACAGGCATGTGCCACCACGCTTGGTGCATATGAGTTTTAGACTTTCTATAATACACCTGTACTTCCCTTTCACCTAGTAGGGAATATATAAATATATTTTGTTAAATCAGTAGTGTACACATAGTTATGATTACACATTGCTAAGATATGTAGTACATGAAGCTCATAGATTCTTTGAAGTATAACTTTTTTTCTTCTTGGAGCTATTTGCTATTTTTTTAAAAGAAATCCATCATGATCTATCACTTAATTTTTTCAGTAATCAAACAATACTGTCACGTACTTATCAATAATATTTTTCATATGGCCACATGCATTAGTTCTTCTGTTTTTCTTCTGAGATTTTCTTTATAGAGCCCTTAATGGACAGATTGACTGACAGTTGGCTGCTATAAGATTTGTATCTGAGATGTCACTGTCACATATTATCCTAGGACTTTGCTTCAACAACCTCTGTGATACTTCCTCTTTGAGGGGGGAAAAGGGGGGTATCCTGTGTATTCTCATTCTCGATTTATCTCTGTGTTATGATAGAGCTTGTTCTTCACTAGCTTTCTAAGAACGGTGCATATGTATTTGATAATGATGCTTTATTTATTTAGTCCTTACATAGGAGAAATGTCTTTATTCAACACTTGCACAAAGTTGGTAGTTCGATAGAATTTGGATCAGTATTGATTTTCCTGAGTATGTTGGAAGAATTGCTCCTCTGTTTCCCTCATTCTAGGGATGCTATTGGGGAGCCCCTTGCCATACTACCTCTGCATCTGTTATTGGAACCACATTTTCTCACTGGAGGTTTTAGGATTTTGTGTTTATAGCAAGTATTATAAAAAATTTTAATGTAATTGTATAAAGAATCCCAGAATTTCTTCTTTCTAAGGTATAGAGAGATGAGAGAAAAGAGGAAATATTCATTAGGATTTACTCTGCAAGAAATTGTCTTGGGTTGCTTGCATATATCTTTTCATTGTCAGATTCCACATAATTTGATTTGGTACATACCCAGACCTGTCTGGATCATGGAGATGCCCATTTTATACAGAAAACTTTGCATGGAGAAAATGGAATGTTTAAGGACCCGAACACTTACTGTTTCAGTCATTGATTTCCTTAGAATTCTCCATTTCCAGATGTTGACACACAATAGCTCCCCTTTTGTTCATTCAATACCTCTTCCTTCTCTCTGCTCACCTCATTTCCTTCTGTCTCTCTCCATGTTTGCTGTTGCAGGGGGTGGTGGTGTTCAGTGATGTGACTGTAGATTTCTCCCAAGAGGAGTGGGACTGCCTGGACTCTATGCAGAAAGTTTTATATAGAGACGTGATGTTGGAGAACTACAGAAACCTGGTCTCAGTGGGTAAGGACCCCTGTCCCCCAAATTTCAAAATCTGCCCCTAGGAATGTCTGTTTCCGACACCATGAATTATTAGTTGCCTTTGAAATAACCAGCCGAATTTCTTCTTTTTGTTCACAGAGTCTGGACTTTTATGGAGCTGAAAATATGCGGCTTCATTAGACTATAAGCTAATGGTTGAAGCTTAACTTTTTTTCATAAGATGTACTTTTCTGTGATCCTTCCTATAATTTTATTAAAAATAAATTTTATTATGTATATTTTAGGTTTACATGATGTAATGAGATACATATAGACAGTAGAATTGTTACTATAGTGAAGCAAAGTATCGTTATCTGTCATCTCACACAATTTTTTGGTGACAGACAGCTAAAATCTACTTATTTAACAAAGATCTCTAATACAGTGCAATTTTATTAACTTTAATCCTCATGTTATACATTAGATCTCTTGACATGTTTATCCTACATTTCTGCTATTTGTTTCCTTTGACCTACATCTCCCCATTTCCTACCACCCGCCTTAAACCCTGGTACCCACTGTTTTATTCTCTATCTCTACATATTTGACCTTTTTAAATTCTACACATAATTTATATCCTACATTTTTTTTTCTGTATCTAGCTTATTTCACTTAGCATAATGTTCTGCACATCCATGATGCTGTGGCAAATGACAAGATCTCCTTTTTAAGGTTGAATAATATTCCATTGTGTGGATAAAGCACATGTTCTTTGACCATTTGTCCATCAGTGGGAGTTTAGGTTATTACCATATCTTAGCTAATGTGAGTACTGCTGCAAAAGACGTGGAAGAGTACATATCTTTACAAGGTGGTGATTTCATTTCCTTTGGGTATATGCCCAGCAGAGGAATTGCTAGGTCATATGGTATTAATAATTCTATTTTTAAGTTTTTTAGGAACCTCCATACTGTTTTCCATAATGTCTGTAACAATCCACATTCCCACCAACAGTACTATATATCCTCATCTGTAAAACGGGGGTTTGGTGAGGATTAATTGAGATAACAAATGTTGATAAGTGTATGCGGGCATTATCTCTTGTCTTTTTGATAATAGCCATCATTACAGGTGGGAGGTGATATTTCATAGTGGTTTCAATTTTTATTTCCCTTATGAATAGTGATATTGAGCACCTTTTCATATACCTGTTGGCTATTTTTATGTCTTCTTTGGAGAAATGTCTGTTCAGGTCCTTTGTCCATTCTTCAATTGGGCTATTTGTTTTTCTGCTGTTGAATTGTAAGTGTTCTTTATAAATTTTGGATATTAACCCCTTATCAGATAGGTGGTTTGCAAGTACTTTTTTCCCAGTCTGTAGGTTATTTTTTCATACTGTCGATTGTTTCCTTTGCTGTGTAGAAGCTTTTTAGTTTTATGTAGTCCCATTTATTTATTTTTGTTTTATAGTCTGAGCTTTTGCCTATTTATTTCTTGACCAAAGGACTAGATTTGAATTCTTGGACTTCCCAGCATAACTATTTTTTCTTGTGAGCAGGACTTTCCATTTCTAAGCCAGCTGTGATCTCCTTACTGGAGCAAGGACTGGAGCCCTGGATACATGACAGAGTGCCAGCTAGAGGCCAGTGCTCAGGTAAGTGAGGGGAAATAAGGTATTGGAGGAGAGTATTTCAGGTGGTAATCCAGCTGTCAGTGAGGAGGTGACACCTTTGAGTCTGGAAACGGCCTTTGGTCTATGGAGTCAGAACTGCTCTGAGTGACTTTCCATTCACCTCTCCTTTTTTTTCTTTTTTTTTTAAAGACAGGGTCTTGCTCTGTAATCCAGGCTGAGGTGCAATGACACAATCACAGCTTACTGCAACCTCAAACTCCTGGGCTCAAGTGATCCTCCTACCTCAGCCTCCCAAGTAGCTGGAACTATAGGTGTGTGCTACCGTGACTGGCTAATTTTATAATTTTTTGTAAAGAATGGGTCTTGCTATGTTGCCCAGGCCAGTCTCAAACTCCTGGCCTCAAGCAATTTTCCTGCCTCAGCCTCCCGAAATACTGGGATTATAGGCAAGAGCTGCTGCGCCTTGCCTATAAGAGGCCACTTCACCTCTCCTTTACTCTCACCCATCCCATTTTTACTTTCGTTTTTTAACCGTTCAACCTTCTTCCTCACCCATGAAAATCATTTTATCTATATTTTATATTTAAATCCTTCTTTGCTTATTATTTTGTATTTAGAATTGTATAAGTGATCTTAATTTCTAGGAAAAAGTATGTGTGTGTGCATATTTTTATATATGAGTCTTCACTTAATCTACCAACATTTTGTTCCTTTTTTTTCACCAATTTTTCTTGTTCACCCATGCATTTGTTGTTTTAACCAACATGTATTGAATTTATAAATTATACAAGGTGATCTCTTGGGTGCAAGAGATTACAAGATGTGTAAAATGTTAAGGATTTCTTAGTCTAATGGGGGCTGATAACATGCCTATAAATAACTTGCACAGGTAGAATTTACCTCAAAAGGAAGGGAGGACTGGAAATGAAGGAGTGCAGTTGGTCCACATAGAAATTATACTTGGAGTGAGTAGAGTTGCCTATGGTGAGAGTGTTGGAAATACAGAATCTATACTTGCAGTAAGAAGAAGAATGAAGGGGAGACGTAGGAGAGAACATTAATTCAGCATATATTTATTGGGCAACTATGTGTCAGATTACAGCAGGGAACAAAATATTTACAGTTCCTATTCTCTTGAAGCACACATTTTAATAGGGGGAAAATTAATAAGCAATTGAATATATAACAGATTGTCTTAAGTGTGGTGAAATTTTTTTAAACAAGGGAAGGGTATGATGTAATAAAGGATTTATCTGTACCCATAGAGAAGTCTGGCTTTTGCTCTTGGCTTCTGGGAGGTAATTTCTAAGCCCTTGGAGTGTCATGCCCAAGATGTCTTCATTTAGGTTGGGGGATGACCATGTCAGAAAGTCTTAACAGTATGATTTATTGTGTATCAATATTGTGTATCAATTTATGATGTATCATTAACTTGACGTCCAGAGAGGCTAGAGATAGGTTAGTCACACAGGCAGTTGACTATGGAGCCCCAGTAAAGATTCTGGATACCAAGGCTCAGGTGACCTTCCCTAATTGGAAATACTATGTGCATATTGTTGCACATCATTGCCAGGAGGAGTGAATGCTAACCGTGATTCCACAAGGAGAGGAAACCTGGAATTTCTGCATTTGAAACCCTCCTGGATTCTGCCCTATGCTTTTCTTCCCTTGTCTGAATTTAATCTGTATATTTCCCCTGTATAAATCATAACCATGAGTATAACAGCTTTTAGTGAGTTTTGTGAGTCCTTCTAGTAAGTTATTGAACCTGAGAAGGTCTGAGAATTCCCCCTCACCAGACTTGGAAATAGTGTCAGAAATGAGGGTCTTTGTACTGTGTTTTCTCTAACACTGCAGTTGGTATCAGAAGTGGAATTTTCTAGAATGATCCTGACACATTGAAACATGTGGTTTGGGGAGAGAAAGGATGAGGAGTGAGTGATAACTTTCAATTCCTGGGTGGCCATAGGGTCACCCACAGGGTGGAACTGCAGCTATGTTGTAGTCAGTTACAGGAGGTAAATGTTACCAGTGGCATTTAGAAATGGATCCAACTTCACTCACTGGTTGCACAAGGAAATGCAGATTAACAAGAAACATGCCAGCTATACAATCCCTTGGTTATTGTGGCCTATAATATTAATAGATAAAACAAAAGTAAAAGAGAATATTGGGATGGATCCTGACAGTGAGCCAAGCTTAGATTGTGGCTGGTACATGCTCTGGCTCTAGTCTCAGTGCTAATGGTCAAGTTAGAATAAAAGTAAGAAAAGTGTTGGGCCAGCCTTGAATACAGCTGTTAGCCTCAGGCCTGCTTTCAAAGGGAAGGTTATGCTGAAGGACAGATACTTCAGAAAGTTAGATTGATTTGTAAGAGAATGGGGAAAGACAAAGGGACTCATCTCAGAAGGTGGAAATCTTTTTTTTTTTTTAATTTGAGAATATTACGGGGGTACAAATGTTTTGGTTACATGAATTGCTTTTGTACAGTTTTAGTCAAAGTTCTAAGTGTGTCCATCATCCACATAGTGTGCATTGTACCCATTAGGTGTGAGAAGGTGGAAGTCTTTAAAGAGTTTTTGAAAAATGAGAAGGATAAAAGGAACATTGATGGAGCAAAAAAAGGTCTTAATGCAGCACTTTTAGAGATTGGATGGACATATAAGATCCCTGCTAGCCCCTAAACTTTGAAAGGTCCTGTATAAACCTACTCTATTTACTCGAGTTTGGAGGAGTTTAGAAAACCAGAAGGCAGAAGGACAATGAGAATGTGACCTGGAGAATCACCAAGGATGATGGTCTTGTAATCTAATCAGTGTAAGGATTGATGAAGGTTCCACGGTCCTTTGGCCCCATCCCTGGCTGGGGATTCAAGGCCATATGCACACAAGTGGGTAAAATGGTCAAAGAGTGAAGAAGAGACTTTTCCGGGACTCCTTGACATGAGAGCCCAATGTACTGTGATTCTAAAACCTGTTGGTGAAGTCCTATTGGTGGGGGCTGGGGCTACATTTAGATTGGGAGGTTATGGGAATATAGTGTTTGATGGAATTAAGAGGAAGGTTTGATAAACCTTGTAATATTTGAACAGATATTATGTGAAATAATTGTGTCTCCTTTGTCTGAATATATTATGAGTATAGATAAATCTGGCTGGGGACCATTTTCCCTACCTAGTATTGTAAGACAAAAGGCATTATAAACCCACCCTTTAGCAATATTGATTGGGCATGCTAAAAGGGAACCAGTAAGATTGTCTGAGTCCACACAGATTGTTAATTTGAAAGATTGTAGAATATGTGATAGACAAAAAAGAGATTACCACTTTAAATAAAGTCCTGTTAGAGGGTGGAGTACTGGTATAGGCAGATTCTCTGTACAGTAACCCAATGTGGGTGCAGGTTGAGGCTTATGGCAAAAGCCAGTGGGCACCACCAAATAATAACTACTGGGATTTTGGACTAGACAATTTCTATTTGAGAGACAGTTACTAGCTTGAAACTGCCACTATGACTGAAAGTCTAAATAATCTTGAAACCTAAAATACCCCTAATGCCTTGGGTGGTGGAGGGCAGTGTCCAGAAGAGTTCCATATCATAATGGAAATGGTTTGTGCAGGAACATGCTACTGGGGAATGCAAAGAGGTACTCATAGTCACAGAAGATAGCTCCTTTTTTGCCTAGCAACAAATTTGCAATCACCCGAGGAGCTTCCAGATCCTATTGCCACTTGTAGTGCATTATGAACAGTTCTATATAAACTAACAAAGTTGCTTGATTTATGGATGACAGTTCCAAGATGAATGGACAGCACTTGTTTGGAAAGCTACCACACTAGGAATTACTGATGGAAAAACTCGGGTTAGAGGTAAAAACAAATCAGCTCAGTGAGCTGAATTTTATGCTGTCCTCTCCTCCTCTGGGTTTTTATCAATTCATGGCTGGTGGCTAATGGCCTGACCATATGGTCAGACAATATGCAGTGGAAAACTGGACTATCAAAGGGATGACTATATGGAAATCACTATGGTAATTTAAGGCACACATTAAAGTAGGACTTGTTGAAATCTATCAGAAGAATCCTTTCAGGGTCGCAAGGTGATTAGAACTGTCAGATAGATATCCTGGTGAGTTCACTTGAGGTCACCACACAGGTCCATGAGATGGACATGGAAGAGCTATGGCAATGCAGAGATGGGCTGAATCTCAATATATCGCTCTCTCTGCTTTTCTGTGGCACAAAATGCCAAAAACTATTGCCATTAAGAGAGACACTGTAGATGGCTATAAGGCAGATTTTCCAGGAGAAAGGCTCCACACAGTGTTTACTACATTGGACTGACACTGATAGCTCTGGGTATCTATTTGACTGTACAGTTAGTTCTTCCCCACATCACCTCAACTATCTGTGTTCTCATTTGGTGCAGTGATTCTGGGACCAGGGCTGCAACTGTGGGTGCTGGAAGTAGGGATGATCCCTAAGCAAGAAACCATAACTGTACCATTAAACCTTTGTGTCAGAATTCCGAAGAGTCTGACTAGGTGAATTGTACCTTTATCCCGTCTAGCAAAATTAGGGTTAGCTGTGTGGTGTACAACTCCTGGCACACTGATTACAGTGTAACAATAAATCTTGGTGATCAAATACTTGGAAACATCCCTGGTTATCATGTGCAAAATATAGCACTGGCATGCCTAGTGTACCACAGTGTGCTGTGCACAAATACACATCATTCTTGTTTTTGTGGATGGGAAACAAACAGAATAGAAAAATAAAATGTGCTGCTGCTGTGATTAAAACCACAAGCATTACATCATGGGTCTGAATTTCCCTGGGGAAAGCCCCATCCTAAGACAAGGAAAGCTATGGGAAGCCTTCTGCCACACTCAATTACATGTAGGTGTGACTACCATTCATCTAACCCTCGAATGGAGGACCTAACATTTTGGGGCGCAAATCGTATATCCTAACCACACTCAGGCCATTACACAATGGCAGCAACATGTGTGGTGATTTAAACATTAGTCTACAAGACATAAAAGTGTTTTGCAGGAGGTAGGTGCCAGTCTAGGCATCGTGTGACAAGCCGAATTCACATTTATTGAGGAGCAGCATTTAGAGGAAAATAACTTACTAACTAGAAGAAGCAGATTAGAAGGGATTCGCTTCCAGGAGGAAGGCGAAGGATGAGAT